TTATCCACCTCAAACAAACTCATTTAACCCCAGTAATAAATTCAAATCATGTGATAATGATTATTTTATATTCAAGATTGTTTTTTGATGGTGGATATTTATTAACAGGATAAGAATGGTAACCAGAAGTACCGTGTGAGATAAGGGAGCCAGAAACATGTTTGGGTTACGTGCAAGAACAGAAGAAGTCGGGGAGCAGCAACAGCAAGAGGATATGAGTCATAGACGTGTCCTGTGGGAAATGAAAACCGGAGCAGATGTGGGTGATACCAAGATGAATTTGACTTCCATTATGCTAAAAGATATACTTGGTTCATAAACATATATACATGTAAACTATATGTAATGTGTATGTATATATATATTGGAGTATAACATGTAGAGGTGTAATTCACTCCAAAATGAATGTATCTTATTGTCATGGGTTGGGTTAGACGTATAGTAATCCTACCTGAAACAACACCTATACTCCAGTGTTTGTTTTACGGGAGTTATGACACACAGGTGAGATATACAGTAACTCCGGGTTATGGTGGTGGAGTAGGACAGTATTGTATTGTTTATTGTCTGCCTCACTCCACCACAACCACATTTTGCAGTCGACCCCAGACCATGGATTAGATGAGACCTCCTCCTACTGTGGCTTAAGGAAACAGCGGGTCGGCACACAGAGTCCTCTACAGCGACACCTTCCTTAAGAATACCAGGGGTGACGAGACTAGGTGTGCCGACTCTAAGTAGTTATATTTCCCAAGTAAAGTAAATGAATCACTTGAGGAATTAACACTATCTTAGGTCAGAGTGTATGTCGGATGGTGGAGTGAATTTCTAAGTAGATACACCATAATCTCCAGTAAGTAACTTGTGTGAAGGTATCGAACTCTACGTTATAAAATAAGTAACACTGTGATACTTATACTTATTGTATTCAAATTTAGATAAGTGATATCGTATAGGTTCATTAATACTATTTTTCTATGTCTTTCTGTGTCTCCCATTTTTACTACTTTTATATCTATTTACAAGTTACTAAATACATCGATAAAAAGGTCATTTGTTTTATATATATATAAGTATCGAAAGGCATTGTTAGGTTATGTTACAGTAGCTCAATAACTAAAGTATAAAGAAGTATTCAATATACCATGCTATTTATGTATCTGTATTACATAAACACATAATACAGGAAAGTGAAATTATATACTTGTTAAACTACAGGAAAAGTTAATACAAGAAAATACAGCCAATTAATCATGTTACTTTTTTTGTATTCATGTAATCTGCTTTTAAAACTTATCATGTTAGCTCTACAGTATATCAGCCTTGTATATCTCTATTTTTTTCCTTCGGTAAAATTGATCTATGACAACAAAATAAAACCGGATGTATAATTATGATTGTTTAAAAATCCCTCAATGGTCTTTAAAAATCACGCCAATGTCTTTAAAAATCACGCCAAGGTCTTTTAGAATCACGCCAAGGTCTTTTAGAATCCCGCCAGTCTTTAAAAATCCCGCCACACACACACACACACACACACACACACAGACACAGACACAGACACACACACACACACACACACACACACACACAGACGCGCCTAATCTCGCTGCCACACTCTGTTACACATTAACATACATCGTACATCTGGCCGGGGTGGTGTTTGTTTCTTCAGTGAGATGTACGGCACCTCTGTGTATTAGCAACGACAAGAACTTTCTCAACACAATAGAATGATCATCATCTTACCATCAAGTAGTGACAATGAAAGAAAAATTTACCTGTGTTTATTGTAGTTTTTTTTAATAATATTTTAATGGGTGACGTAGAACTAGACTCGCCAAGTCAAGGACGGCCATTAAACTTGACAACTTCTTCATAATTTTGTTTATGCTACCTAAACTTAACCACTGGTGTCATTATAATTACAATAATATATCCTGGTGTGTAATATAATTAAAAAAAAAAGGTTTAAACACATATAAAGATCCCCATGATTAATATTAGTTACAAAAATCACAATTATGGATGTACGGAAATAAATAATCCTGAAACATCTTGCAACGGTGTCTCCATCCTTTGGCCGCTGGGAAACTTTATTTTTTATTTATTCTCTTTTTTTTCTCTCTTTAGTGAATATTAAATACGTGAATAAAATATATAACAGGATATATGGTTGGGTAATTTATTATTTTGACGTGTTTAGTAATGGTGTTATCTTCTCAGTTATTCTTTACACACATGAGATAATTTTCGACAAGTATTCAAATTTATGACAATTATCAAGATATTTATTTGCATAGTATTTGGTGTCTTTTTAAAGATTTTGTTTTTTAAATGAGGTTTCAATTTAATTACCTCATTATTATTATTACTATGAATTACTTAAATGTTAAAAGGAAAACTGTGGTCTTCGACCAGTCAATGGGTTAAGAAATTTATTGTATTCCATTCACGACGGATGTGTTAAGTGTTTTAGGGAAGATTTTGTTATGAGAATTTCGAAACTCTTCTGTCGTCAAGAACCGGATTTGGATGATAAAGAAGGTGCTTGATACGACACGTGAGGTGGTATCCCCCCCTCTCTGACTGACTGACTGACTAAATCAAGTCTTAAATACATAGAGTAGCAACTACACTAAACATCAACAAATAAAAAAACACATACATCTTCCTATTACAATATATAAATACTATACATCACTTTACCTGATAAATGACTGAGATGTTTAGCTGTTTACAATCAGTTCACTACAATCACACGGGCTTCAGGGGCTAGACACCCACACGGGGGTCCAGATCGTTGAAGTATACCAACTATCGTGTTGCCTTGTTTGAAGATTACTGGCCACTTGGCCTTGAGGCTATTTAGGCCAGAGCGGATGTCTTTTTTTTCAGGTCTTCTCACTCACACCATTAGGGGCTGGGGAGTCAACACTATCGTCACCCCAAATGTCTGTCTGTTGTCAGCCAAGCTGACTCTTTAGTCAGCGCTGAGTCATGACGACGACCCGATTGGGTCATCGTCACTCTTGGTTTGCCAGCAATGCTGGCTCATATCTCACAATGAGCCCTCCCCAGAACTCCCGAGATGACTTCCCGCGTCTACCGTGTTGCCGTGTTTATATCCCACAGGCCAACAACACCCGCCAGTTTCTTGACCAATCAGAGATGATTAAAGTGCAGCGTAAACTACCTAACTACCTGTTATATTTTAATCTTGTTTATGGGGGTTGGGGAAGGGGGGTTCGCGATGCCATATTGTATGAGAATTTGTAACGTTACAGAAAACCCGATTCAGTAATAGGACAAACACGTATAGTTATTAAGTTAAAATAATTGCTAAACTAACATAAAGATTAACTATGATAATATCTGTTGTGTGTGTGCGTATCGACCTCGTCAGCTACCGGTGCACAGATCAAGGTGTATCAGGTAAACATATGAATTATCGATCTTAGCTCTGTTCCGAGCTACCCCCTCCTCCCCCGGACCATATGTTGTCAACCAAAACACAGATCCAACACACGCAACACTTATTTCTGTAGATAAAAAAATATTGTAATATGACTATGTTTGGATCACTTGAAGCTTAGACACCCCAACTAACCTAACCTAACCAAACCTAAACTAACCTAAACTAACCTATTAACTTCATCTAATCTCAACTAAATTAACAATAACAAACGGAAGCAAATAAAAACAAACAAAAAACACGAAACAAACAGTAAACAAGATGAAGAAATCTTACAGAATATTAGGAAAATATTATTAATTTTTTTTTGTTTACTTATTACTGGTAATTTTTATTTGATGTAAGTAAACACATAAGTAACAAATAAGTGTAATAATAATAATAATAACATTGTTTATATTATGTAAATTACAACGACAGATTTTGTTGATATTCACCCCCACCCCCTCCACCCCCACCCCTCCCTCCACCCCCCCCTCTCCACCCCACCCCTCTCCACCCCCCAACCCCCACCCTCTCCACCCCCACCTCCACCTTCTCCCCCACCCCCTCTCTCCACCCAAAAAAAAAACAAGATTTTTTTTACATGTCTAAATTATGTATTTTTTTTTTTATTATTATGATTTGTATTTTCATGTGATTAGTTACCTGAAATTAATCATTGCTGTTATCAGACCTGAACCTTACATTCTTATTTCTTATCATTCTCACTGTATAGGAATTTATACTGTATCTCCTGTTTATCATTCTTCTGTGTTGACATTCTTACCTCGTCTGTGTGAGTGAGAGAATGACAGACTAAGAATGTTTGTTTGTAGTCTAGGTTTTATATATATATAAAATGTTATACCCATAGAATGATATATACAACACGTGTGGTTATAACAGCGTGAGAATATATTTTGTCAACACGTCTTATATAGAATGTTGTGGTAGTGTTTTGTAGAGGAGTTTTTCATCGGTTAATGGTAGACTTTACTTCACAGAGGTGGTATTTCACACAAGTTCTATTGATGTTGTGAGTTAAACGAGTTACCTGAGGTTAATGACATGATAAATTGGTGTCTAGTAATTACGTGGGTTTAATGGCATGCTTTTGGGCTTCCCTGATGACAAAAACACGCACACACACATATGCACAGTCACTGACCGTCACCTATGTCTGTTATCTCTGAGTTTATAAATTATTCAGTGTGTGTATATATAGTTCCTCCTTCTCTCCTTCCATCCCAGATTATTTCACCTTAAGATTAACCACCCTAACGCTAATCTAATCCCCCCCCTCCCTGTATTAGGTTAGGTTAGGCTAGTGCTAGGGTGGTTAATCTTCGGGTGAAATAGGATTGAAAATGTTGGGTGATCCTTCATGTGATTCAGAGATACCACTGATTTTATTTCTCTCTCTAGATATGTTAATTTTTGGTCTTTAATAATATAATGGTAAAAATATACACACCTTCCACTTCCAACATTTATTTTGTAAAACATTGTTCCAAACTATGATACAAAACTCAAATAAGGTGTGGAGGAATTTACACATTATCATCTCACAGTGTATATACAAAAAAAATTTAATATACTCCTATTAAGTAAAAGAACTGAAGCATAGAAGGTATTGTTGAATTTGAATATAGTTGATAATATCGAGTATTAGGCAAGGTTCTCTGAGATGGGTTGAGAAGAATTTTGTAGATGGAAAAAATTGTGTTGTGGAAAATGATGATGATGATGATGATGATGATACTAATTTAATTTTCCTGCAATGATGAGAAAATAAAAATAAAATCAATCAAAAAATCCACTAATTATTTTTTTATAGCTTAACTTAAATAAATATATATATTGTTTCATAATTAATATCTACATAATTAAATATTCCTAATTATTGATGCTAGTTGTTAAAGCACCTAAAACACATTACATAATAATACAGGAAATATGATAACATATAAACTTAAGGAGTATTTACCTTGATTACCTGTACTTAATTAACGTATTCAGTCAGGTAAAAATAAATAAATAAACAGGAGAAATACAACCAGTGATAATTATACCAAACATAATAAACAAGAACCAAAAATGAAAGAAATTAAAAAAAAAATTCCCGAAGTTGAAAAAAAATTATGAAAAAAATTACCACGAAAATGAAAGAAATTAATCAAAACATCTCCAAAAAAATTCTATCTACAATTTGCTTTTCAACTTTCTCATAAAACTGTGACTAGAAATAAATATAAAAAAAACAGTTAACTATACTGGCCAACGTATATACTTAGAAGGTAAATGTCTTTTAGGGTGAGAATTCAGTGTTTAGTTGCATGACACTCTATTGCACGGGAAAAAATAGAGATCTTTTTTTTTTAACATTATTTATCATAAGCGCTGACAGGAGCCGTATTGTTGCTCTACATATGTTGACATATAATTCTTGATTGTCTGTCTGTTGATTTGGTTAAATTAATCAAAATGTAGAGTTGAATTTGCATATTATCTTCTTTATCTACTCTAAATGCTCCACCAAAAAGGAGCATAAGGGTTGAACACATACGGATATCCAAAAGGTATAAAAAAAAATCACAATATAGCAGTCAACATATTCTGGCAACACTGATGAAACATAGAGTAACCTCAGTTATCAAAATAAATATAATTTCTCATCAATAATTTCCGTAACTACATCACTACATTAATCAATACATTTCATAAAGTGTTTTATTTATTTTTTCGTGAGGTTTTTACCAGAGATTCACCAGTTCTTTAAAGCACAAGTAACTATGAACCTAACTGCAGAACACAATGGGCAAGTTAAGTTCACATTTACCAAGCAATATCCACAACATGGGTTAAGTGACGTGTCGACTAAGGATACTGTCACTTGCGGTTAATGCCAATGTATCACGAGTTATAGCTTTGATGGTCTTGGACACTGATCTAGCATTCTATAACCACTCAGAACATACTTATAAATAATTAGAAAATGATGTACTGGTTTGTTTAATTCCATGGATAATGACGTACTGGTTTGTTTAATTCCATGGATAATGACGTACTGGTTTATTTAATTCCATGGATAATTTTATTTATTTTTTACGTCTTCACAATGTAATTTAAAAGTTTGTTAATTTGGTGTTTTTTTTATGAGTATATTCTGTTTGTGTTATGGTTGCTTTACCGTATCCAAGAGAGCGAGAGAATATTACCTATTAATTATACGACTTGCAGTACCACAATAATCTATGTCATGTACACACACACACACACAAACACACACACACACACACACACACACACACACACACACACACACACACCAAAGGCAAAATGCGATATGATAAATCCTAGGGAAATTTTCTACCACTAATCAGAATTACACAGTTGTAAATTTAACAGGAAAAAACATATGTATTAAATTTATGCAATGCGTTAGTTAAATTTTGTCTTTCGGTGTATTTTTGTAGCATTGTATTCTAGATTATCAATACAATATAATGATCGAGATAGCATTTAGATATGTTGTATTTCTGAGGGTTTAATATTTTTGCCTTTGGTGGTGGAACTGAACAAGCTATAGTACCGGGAGAAGGCGTTTCCCATGACAGAATTTAAGCGAACATTTGGTGAGGAAGATATCATTGCCTCACCTCAAGAGCCTTAACCTTAGGGGGGGTGGGAGAGATGACTGCCTGCTGTGAAAGACCCTAAACTTTATAGGGATATTTTTAGGGGAGGAAGGATTCATCTTTTTCTTCCCCTATTGAAAGACCAAAATAGGGTATAAGCAAACAGACAACTCCCCCTGAAAGACCTTAAAATAGGCAGGAGGTAGATATCCACCCTCCTGTGAAAGACCTTAAATGATAAGGGAGAGATGCAATCCTCTCCTGAAAGACATGGTAGTCCAGCGCTCAGTGTACAATACTAGCGACAAGTGAGATCCATCGTTTACAATGTCATAAAGCCCAACCAGTCAACCATAACAATGACTCCACTCCACTCTTTCACAAGTAACTGCCGCCTGTAGTACACACACACACACACACACGGCAGCCCTCAATACAAAGAAACTAACATTACCTTTCCATAAACTCTCTCCTCGTGACTGTCAAGTATAAAAGGGACTGTGACTCCTACCTTACCCTATCTAAACCTCTTACATATATACTTTACATGAAAATGGTATATCATTCATGACTGCAAAAGTTATTCCATAATGAAAGACATTGGGAAGTGATGTTTAAATGAGTCTATAAACTTTACTCTCCTCATGTTGTGTTACCAAATTTAAGTCACCCAAGAGGACATATAAAACAATTCTTAATTACATATGAATTCATGATAAACTACACAGAGTTGATTTTTGTTCTTCTTCTTCTTCTTCTTGAGCTTCCAAGTGCTTTAAGACACATGGCCAGTGTGTGTGTGTGTGTGTTGTGTGCTGAAGAACTTAAAGGTGAGACTATAGTGAGTATAATCATCACCCTCTTCACTCTAATTGGCCCACATAACTGGACTCGGAACATTTTGCTGCGGGTCAATTATTTCGACTGCCATGACGCATCCACACACACACACACACACACACACACACACACACACACACATAACCCCTTACAGTAACATGGCTGGCACAAAATCATACAATACTTGGCCAAAAAAAAAAAAAAAATAGTTTCCCCTACAATCATCAAGGAGCAAAAACAGCATCAATGACAACAGTTAGAGGAGGAGGTTGGAGGCGGCACAAAACCTCCCAAACATAATAAACCTCCAAATACCACGACCTCCAAAAGTGAACCCTCCAAATGAACACCACATCAAACGGGGCACACCACTCCTCATTCCCTCCCTGTAACACCTCCAACACCGCTCCCGCAAGACAAACACAGGGTAACAAACAGAGACTCCATTAGCCTGCTATGGTAGACGATCAACGGAGTTTATTCAGAAGTCGCCACCACACAAAACACAGGAGAGGTACTGAGATACAGGTGGTAAACACTTCTGGGACTAGAGCCGAGTTGAGTAAGGTGAGGTGACTCTTCTTATTTGTTACCTGTACACAAAGAGAAAAGATGGTCAGGTTAAATTATTATTATTAATTAGTCCTCTCACCTGAAGCAATATATATACCTTGATAGATATACGGCTATTGTATACCTGTACTGTCACTGTATATTGTATGTATACCTGTACTATCTAAGAAAACTGCAATACAAGACAAAGAAAAAACAAAGAAATCTACGTAAAATCGATAGCATTCAGTGAAAGTATTTATCAGGTTCAAACAAGACTCAAATACTTCTCTTTTTTGTCTTTTTTTTTTGCTTCAGTTTGAACTAAATCACTAATACCTGTTATCATAAGTAATAACTCCTAAATAATGTTCACTTAGACGAGAACAAGTTATTATTTTTTTTTTTACTTGACTAAATATAACTCGGCTTACTCAGCTATCATTGCTAGTCTCTGTATTACCATATCAAATATTATCAGTTTATTTACTGTAATCTTTACTTTTTAAATTGGTATTACTTTTTTTTATTACATTATATTCTATTTATTATGTTTAAGTTAGGTTAGATTAGGTTAGGTTAGGTTAGGTTAGATTAGGTTAGATTAGGTTAGGTTAGGTTAGGTTAGGTTAGAGTGTTTAATCATCAGGTGAAATAAACTTGGGTGCCTAATCTTCATGTGATACGAAAATAAACATTCCTACTAAGTTTCCAAATCACGTAAACTTGTGTGTGTGAGAAACATTACTGACAGGGAGGAGGAATCACCTTGTCTCTCCCATATCGTGACAGTAAATCTAACTATAGTCTGCATAAAGGTATCATTTTAACCTAATCACCTAAACTACCTGACAAACGACCATTTAGTGTCCAGGTGACCCTCATGAGCTGGTAGGTGTAACAAGCGCACGTGGGCCTCGTTACCATATTATAATTATGAGATTAACTACCGATTATCCGTGAATGGTTGAATTATCACCCTCCTCCACCCCTCCCACCCACCCCCTATAATCATATGCCCTCGGGTTGGCATCATCGCGTGACGTCACCTTGTGGAAAAAGTCGATTTCATGTCGTTTCCTTTTAACTAACAATTATACATCTTTCACAATGTACTATAATCATAAATAAAATAAACAAATTCACGTCTAATTTTCATTTGGGAGACATATCGGTTCCAAAAGATACTCGGGGCAAGAAAGCGCTATGGTGAAAGACACAAATGGGTGACAATCTTCTTTTGTTATGGTATCCCCCTCGACCATACTGCGCCTGACGCCTCTAATAACAATAGGGTGAGCATAATTAATTAGATAGAGTCATTAACGGGATGGAATGAGCGTACACGTGCACACACAAACACACACACACACACGCACACATACACACGTGTTTCCCCTTCTGACCTATCATAGAGGGGAGAGAGGAGAGGAGAGGGGAGGGGGGGGGGGGAATTTACCTGAGGGGGAGGGTTAATATACACCTCACCTGTCGTTAATTATTTCTCATCTCGTGATAATATTACCTGATGTATTAACAAGGTATTATCCTCTATCACTCTACTTATTGTTTCTTCTTAAATTTACATTATTCACCTTTATTTATTCCCCTTATTCATTATTCCCCTCTTATTCTCACCAGTTATTGGTTTATTATCTTTATTTTTGTCCCTTCTCCCCTCAACAGTCTACTTATGTTAAACTGGTAACTGTAAACTAAGTGACTTCATATGAAATTCATTATCATTTCCCCTCCAATGGCGTTTTTACTATGTCCCCTCACTCTTCCTCTCCCCTCTTCTTCCCCCCTCCTCTCCTCCCTTACCAAAAGTACTTCTCCCTCTCTTCTCCTTTTACCTTCCTTCTCTCATCACCCCTCATCTTCCTTCTTTCTCACCCTTTCTCCTCCCTTCCTCTCCCTTCACCCCCCACCCCCCCCAAGTCACGAGAGGGGCAGATGGTGTGTCCCCTCTGAAGCGGTAGTGAGGGGAAGAGGGAAGATAAGGCCACCATTGACGGACAAAAAATGGATATATATATATTTTTTAAATTATAAGATAAAATATATTTACCCAGGTGTTAATGATGTGTTTTCCAGGTGTTAGATGTTAGTGAGGTGTTTGTTAGATGTTAGTGAGGTGTTTGTTAGTCAGATACGAAGAAGGAGTAAGTAACTTATAAGAACACTTTCAACCATACGTACAAATGACACTAAAATCCTTACCTACCTTGGCACTGTTGGATTGAAAGTTATCAGCAACTCGGCGTAAATCTCTCCCTGCTCGTCTCCACACACCACTTGCCCCTTCTTCACCTGCCTGTGGGTGTTCCTCCTCTCCATCAAGTCCTTGGGCTCTCTCTTCCTCTCCCTGACATTGGGGAGGGTGGTTGGGGGGATGGTGGGGAGGAGGGCGTGGAAAGAACCAGGAGAGTTGGGGTAAGGCATGGTAGGGGTCAGGTTGTGGGTGTTCATTCTGCAATCGGCGTCTTATTTCCCGTATGTGTTCCAGCCCTTTCTTGACGGCGTCCCTTTCTTTATCGTCTAATCTCCCGGTGGATACAGCACGGGTGGGGATGCTACTGACGATACCCAGGGCCTCTGAAGGGGTGGTGGTGGTGGTGGTGGTGGCTGGGTGTGTGTTGAGGGCGGAGGTCGTGGGCGGGAGGGCAGGAGTGGTGGAGTTCTTGTCTGGGAAGAAGGACAGGTAGGAGTGTGCTCGTCGTAGTGGTGAAGGTGTTGGTGCGTTGCTGAGTACCACGTCAGGTAGAGGTGCCAGTCCTGATGGTGATATGAGTACTGAGTTATGAGTCATTAACTCTATAACTGAACTAATATTTTCATAGAGTCATTACCATTAACTAATAGTAGTCAGTGTCATTAATAGCACAACAGTAAGTACCATTAATAGCAAGTGTCAGCGCTAAACAGGTTGAAGTCAGGCCAGGGTAATTAAGACCACAGGTGAACTAACACAAACCACGACGTTCAGTTCATTACCTCATAAAACACACAGACACACATACACCTGTGACACCTGGAGACGAAGACTCGCTTATTACCTGATGTCCCTAAATGCCATTAAATAGTAATTACAGGTTATAAAAGCAGAGACTATTATTACGGAGATTGTTCACCTCACGCCCCACACACACACACACCACACACACACGAACATGGAGAGAGAGAGAGAGAGAGAGAGAGAGAGAGAGGTCCCACAAGTAACACCCAAGAGAAGAATTTTAGCATTGTTTTGACCCGATTCTTGTCGCGAGATACGGAGAAGTTTCGACAGTAAGAATCTTAGCAAATTATACATTTGTGAAGTACATTCTTAATGACTCTTAGGTTAGGTTAGCATTATGTTAGGTTAATCATGAGGTAAAATAAACTGGGGGTGTCTAATCTTCAGGTTAACCCACCAAACGAGAACCGTAAAATACAAAGGACTTGACACTGAAATTCCTCTCGTAACCTCTATATATATATTGCCTCTTATCACCTCAAGTACGGAAAGAAAAATAACAACAGCTCAACGAACCTCTCTGAAAAGAATCCCATCCCTGATCTTGACTACAGAGAGCACAGGTGTTATCAAGGTTGAGATAAACAAGAACACAACATGATAAAGATAAGAGTGTTATCAGTGAATCATTATCTCCAAGTTTAATGTCAACAAAGAGATTTCAAACCTCCATCATGAGACTGCCTGGCGCCTCTGTGTGTGTGTGTGTGTGTGTGTGTGTGTGTGTGTGTGTGTGTGTTATCTGGAGAAAGTGATCAGTTGTTATCAGAACTGTGTATAATGCTTCGAGGAGCCAAAGATGTACTGTATATTGTAATTAAGGTACAGTTCAGGTGTGACACAAGGTCTAAGGTAGGGAATGAGTGTGATTGTAACTTGCTCTGTTTACATCCTACTTGGTCGATAGTCTGTTATAACCTAACCTAACGCTAACCTAACCTAATCTAACCTAACGCTAACCTAACGCTAACCTAACGCTAACCTAACCTAACGCTAACCTAACGTAACCTAACCTAACCTAACCTAACCTAACCTAACGCTAACCTAACGTAACCTAACCTAACGCTAACCTAATCTAACCTAACGCTAACCTAACGCTAACCTAACGCTAACCTAACCTAACGCTAACCTAACCAGATCCTGTTAAAATAGAAAAATTGCCAAAGTGGGATGATACCCTTTGTCTTACTGTTTACAAACATACATACATACATACATACATACATACATACATACATACATACATGCATACATACATACATACATACATACATACTTACATATAATATACATACACTCTCTCTTTAACACTCTATCTCTCTCTCTCTCTCTCTCTCTCTCTCTCTCTCTCTCTCTCTCTCTCACCTCATCGAAGACGCAACTTAACTCAACCTAACCTAACCCTATACCATATATTAAACCGTATATGCACAAGAAGAACCTAAACACAAAACACTAAACCAGTTATTAAGATCTTTACATGATAACTCTCCTCATAGTAACAGTTAGTGACTAAGTTAGGTTGTTCATGAATCAAGTACGTTATTTTTTCCTTCTTTAAATAACGTGAGTAATATCCTCTTTAGGTGAGGTTATTTTAGGTTAGGTCAGCTTAGGTAAGGTTAGGTTAGGTAAGCTTAGGTAAGGTTAGGTTAGGTAAGCTTAGGTAAGGTTCGGTTAGGTAAGCTTAGGTAAGGTTAGGTTAGGTAAGCTTAGGTAAGGTTAGGTTAGGTAAGCTTAGGTAAGGTTCGGTTAGGTAAGCTTAGGTAAGGTTAGGTTAGGTAAGGTTAGGTAAGCTTAGGTAAGGTTAGGTTAGGTAAGCTTAGGTTAGGTTAGGTAAGCTTAGGTTAGGTTAGGGGTAACAACACCGTACTTATAATAAACATAGTACTCAAGAGGTGAGGACATCGTACTCACAATGTACTCAAGTTATTAAGTCCTCAAGGTGTATAATAATCTAGGTCACTGATCAAGTCCATTTCATTCTAAGGCTTGTCACGGTATTAGTGTCAGAAAACATCAGTCTAATGTCATTTGGTGTCATAAGAGGTCAGACTTGTGTCACTTGAAGATCATAAGAAACTAAACTCATTTGCTGACATAAAATAGCAAACGAGTGTCAATTAGTGTCAAAAGATATCCAACCAGTGTCACAAGAGTCCTGGCCAGTGTCATCCAGATCAACCAAGTGTCATCTGAAGGTGTCATTCAGTGCCATCCAAGTGCCACGCAACAGATACGGGAGCCAAAGCCTTTCACTCGACACCCACGTCATTACGGAACAATGTAAGCTGTGCGTCATCGCCCCTTTCCCGCCTTGTTAGACGCGTGGAAGCTCTTGCGCAATGTGGGTTCATCTTGACTACTGGATCTTAACTAGTGGCTTAGATAGATAGATAGATGGATAGATAGATAGATAGATAGATGGATAGATAGATAGATAGATAGATAGATAGATGGGTAGATAGATAGATAGATAGATAGATTGATTCAGTGAACCTTCCACGAGAGAATATATACTTCTCAATAAAGATGAAACTAACAACAGAAGTACCATATAACAAAGTACTAATTACTAACAAACTGTATATATTAACTCTCATTTCTATAAACAAAAGCACAAATTTCCCCCCAAAAAAAATATAAATAAAAGATAAGAAGTTCAACAATTTATTAGTTTTTCTCGTTATCAGTTACGAGATTAGACTATTTTAACTCAATAAATTATACATTAAGAATATCAACGTGGCGTAGAATCGTTTGTATCAGATAATGTTATAAAAAAAAAACCGATATTTATTTCCCCTATTGATGAACAATATTATGAGCACGTTCACTTAATACTCAGAATATTGTTACACACACACACACACACACACACACACTCACACACACACACACACTCACACACTCACAGGTCGCAACACGTGAGCCTGGGACGCCCTAAACAAGATGCAACATGTCCTATATGTTAAGCGCCTCGGCATTGATTTTACCTCCAAGTGCTTCATTTAATATTTACACTTTACAAACAAACAAACACTTTAAATACCCTCATATTAAATATACATGTTTACTGAGCGTCTGTAATATACGTGTGTTTTTTTTTGTTTTATATTTCATAATGTAAAGAAAATACAGACTTAGATGAGCTAGGCTTCCAGGTTTTATTTTTACAGATGCGTATTGTTGTATAAATCTGCGGACACTTTGCGTATATGTTCAACACGAGCTGTTTTCAATACTGCACTTGTAATAATTAATTCCTGGCTAATAATTTATAATATAATTACATACATACATACACACATACACACACACACACGGCCACAGATGACATACTCGACATGTAAACTGTTTAACATCTGACACTTGACAGGTATCAACAATAGGCAGAGTTCACTAACCTCTGGAGCTGTGGAGGTTTCGCCAGTTCATTTCTGCAGTAGTAACACACTCGTCACCGTAAACCAGGTCACTGTCAATCAGGTCACTGGTATAGCCAAATGGCACAGCACAAATACGGAGAAGTAAACTGGCCATGTTTCAGTGAAGAAGGGAAAAAATATACTTTATTCCTGGCAGATGCTTAACTTGTAACATCCGCTCGGTAACTGACTGAGTGAGGGATGCTCGTCGGTACTGAGTCGGTAGCTCGAATTCAGGCCGCAGCATCGACTGACACTATGCGCACCTACCCGCCAATCATCAGTCGCGCGAATCTGGAACTCTAGCTGTCACCAATATATTTTCCCTCAATTCTTCTCTATTTATTATTATTGTTTGAGTATAAAAAAGAAAAAACACGTTATAAATCATTAATAATTGATTAGATAGGATAATTGAAATAAAAATATATACACGGTATCTCAAAAATGAATCACTGTTTAGTGTTATTCGCATATGGCAGCGCGAGTGGGAGGGCGGAGCTTTAATCCTCCAGTGCGGACCAATCAGGAAGCAGCAGACGCACATGTGGATTTGCCTCAAATGGTAAACAAACTTGGTGGTAGGAGTTGAGAAAGATAATATTTACAGTCTTATTATAATGTTTCAATCATTTTGGTACTTTGAGAATCGACTTTTATTTTTTTTTTAATACTAATTTATAAACACCATACCCATAACTGCTTTCATTACTGATTTAATTGTTTTTAGTCGTTATATATATAAGCGTGCGGGACTGAGAGAATTACCACAGAGTTTGCGTGGTGTATGACTCAGTGTTGACGCGGGGTTTTAACCTGAACATTCAAGTTGTTATGTTCACTGGCAGCTAAAGTTGACGTGTGTCCGCTCTTTCAACCTTTGTTTTTGTTTCGGAACTTGACATACAAAAAAAAAATTACTTGTTGAAGATTATGCCTATATTTCCACGCTAATTGAGTGAAGATTAAATATACTGGTTATATTATTATTACTATATAGTGTAATATAGAGCGATTACTTCTTTAACCCTTTGACGACAATAGTTTAACCCTTTGAGGACGATGATTTAACCCTTTGACGACAATAATTTAACCCTTTGACGACAATAATTTAACCCTTTGACAACAATAATTTAACCCTTTGAGGACGATGATTTAACCCTTTGACAACAATAATTTAACCCTTTGACGACGATGATTTAACCCTTTCACGACAATAGTTTAACCCTTTGAGGACGATAATTTAACCCATTGAGGACAATAATTCAACCCTTTGAGGACGATGATTTAACCCTTTGAGGACGATGATTTAACCCTTCAGGACTCAAAGGGTTAAAGGGACACACAAGCCTCATAGATATTCAGATTTTGTTTATAATTCAGTAGCATAAGCTTCTTCTTACACTTAAGTCTTATTAATATTAACCTCTGTGTTGCTATACTTTTATGTAATACAATACTCAACAGGTAAACAATATTTCACCAGGTAAACACTATTTCATCAGGTCATATGTAAACACTGATCTATCTGGTGTAGTGCAAACAGGTGGACACACTCAGGACACACTCAGGACTCACTCAGGACACACTCAGGACACAGCAGGACCTAGACACAGGACACACTCAGACACACCGACACACCCAGGACTCACCAGACCCACCCAGGACTCACCCAGGACACACGCAGGACTCACTCAGGACTCACTCAGACTCACCAGGCTCACTCAGGAATCACCAGGACACATTCAGGACACTGGACTCACTCAGATTCACGCAGGACCTCACCAGGCACAGGACTCACCCAGGACACACGCAGGACACACCAGACACACTCAGGACACACTCAGGACTCACCAGACACACTCAGGATACACTTAAAACACACTCAGAACACACTCAACTGGTAGAAGCAGTAGTGTCAAGGGCAACGATGATTCACACCTCCGCTAAAGTTTTCCTGTTTAGGTTAGGTTAGGTTAGGCTAGGTTAGGATAGGATAGGTTAGGTTAGGTTAGGATAGGATAGGTTAGGTTAGGATAGGTTAGGTTACGTTAGGATAGGTTGGGATATGTTAGGATAGGATAGGTTGGGTTAGGGTTAGGATAGGTTAGGAGGTTGTTGTAGATAGGTTAGATAGGTTAGGATAGGTTAGTTAGTTAGGCTAGATAGGTTAGGTTAGACTCATGTCCTTAGTGTCCCCATTTTCTTTTGCGGGGGGGTGGCGCTTTCCATAATAGACTTGTGATTACGTAGAGTCCCTTCACATTTTATCTACCGTCTGTTTGTCGCTACATCAATGTTATGAGATAAGATAACTTACCCCCGGCCTTATGTCACCTTTAAAAGAACCGAGCGTACAGTGCTTCTGGCCACGCTAGGACTCTAAACGAAAAACAAAAAAATCAATAAATTCTAAGCTAATATGAGCCAAGTGTGTGTGTGTGTGTGTGTGTGTGTGTGTGTGTGTGTGTGTGTGTGTGTGTGACTCATGTGTGTTTTGGGGGACTTGCATTCATCTATCTATCTATCTATCAATGTATCTCTATTCATCTATCTACACAACCCATACATAACAAACCGACCTCGTTATTTATATTACCCTCAGTTATCTAATTCGCTTTATATCCAGATAGCATTAGGGTGGTTAATCTTCAGGTGAAATAAGCTGACGGGGGGGGGTCTATTCTTCAGGTGATCAAGGTAAAGAAGTTAACAGAGGATGATGATGATGATAATGACAATGATAATCTGATAATGATGATGATGGTAATAATGATAATGATGACATGATAATGATATAGGTTTCCAAAAAAAAATACCTTCACCCTGATAAATTTGTACTCAGGTAAAAAAAAATATTAATAATAATAAGAAAATTTTTACTCTACTTAAGCCATTACTTATTACTCTATATATTCTTATCATTTATCTAAGTACAAACTTCTGTGTGTGTGTGTGTGTGTGTGTGTGTGTGTGTGTGTGGGAATAATACACATGTTTGAGCATAAACTCAAACACCTGAATAATGATCTCACTGACACTAATTTCGCACCTTACTTTTCTTACAGGTGTGATGTTCCTGTACTGATGGGGGGGTAGGTGGTGGTGGGTATAGGTAGGTGGGTGGGTGGGAGGGTAGATGGATATGGGTATACTGCAGGTGTTTACAAGTATCGACGCGCGGGATTGTTTTGACAAATATCTGGAGGAACAGCCTGCCTCTACCTCTTAACCAAACTACCATCCTGGGCACTTTGGTCGCGTGTATTATACCGAGAGTTTGTCCTCCCTCCCTCCCCACCCTCCCCCCCTCCCCATATTCTTCTTCTCTCCTCCTCCCTCCTACCTCCTCCTCTTCTCTATCTCTCCTCTCTCTTGGTGATCTTGAGGCTTGGGAAGTGGATTTAGTCCTCTCGTTTACACACATTTCAAATAAGGTGTTACTTGCCAGAGAAAGCTCAAGGTCTAAGATAAGAAAGTTTCGAGATGTAATCGATCACGTTAATCCACTTAAGAATGATAGGTCAATAATATTTCAGGTTACCCACTAAACACACATACATACACACACGCAAATACCCCCCACACACACACATATACATACACAAACGAACCCCCACACACATGCAGTCTTCTTTAAACCTAACCTAACCTAACCTAACCTAAATGAATCCCCGGGTAACGTTAGGGTGGTTAATCTTCAGGTGGTGTAATTAATTAGCTTATTGTTACGGCTTAGACGTAAAATTACTCAAAAATCTTCAAATATTCTTAAAATTCTTATACAAATTATTATGTGTTTTTTAAAGTCATTATATTAATCTTTAAATATTGTTAGTCATTATATAATACTAAATTTTATATATCTTGTTAGAGTTAATTTCTGCCAGTTCATGTTCGTATTATATTTGCTCAAGCCTAATTATATCACATGTGTACTCAAAAGCCTATTTATATCATATGTGTACTCAAAAGCCTATTTACACCTGACCTCTTCTTACAGATTCATAACACCACACCCCCACCACACCCCCACCTTACGACACACTTTAACAATTATCTCACTAAATTATCACCAACCATTACAAAATTCCCCTTCACTACACCTCTCTCATTACCGTGTTGGACATTACTAAAGCTCTGTAACTTCGGATAATATACAAGTCGGTTATTTTGATCCGGTATCAGACGATAATCTGTATCGCCTGAACATGTTTTGATATCATGACCGAGAGAGAGAGAGAGAGAGAGAGAGAGAGAGAGAGAGAGAGAGAGAGAGAGAGGCCGCTGGTGTTATCATCCGTGTTCTATTAAATATAGTAATTCTTTATTTAGGTCAAGAAGCTGATGAGGTGGTTAATGGTCATTTATGTCATTTACAAGTCTTAAAGTTAATAGTGGGGCGAATATTTAAGTTAATAGTCTTATGGTTAATAGTCTTATGGTTAATAGTCTTAGGTGAATAATCTTATGGTTAATAGTCTTATGTTAATAGTCTTATGGTTAATAGTCTTTTGGGTAATAGTCTTATAGTTAATAGTCTTATGGGTAATAGTCTTATGGTTAATAGTCTTATGGTTAATAGTCTTATGGTTAATAGTCTTATGGGTAATAGTCTTATAGTTAATAGTCTTATGGGTATATCTAATGGTTTAGTCTAGGTAATAGTCTTTGGTTAAGTCTTATTAATAGGTCTTTAGTCTTTTTAGTCTAAAGGTTATGTATCAGTTATGTCTTTTAATAGCATTATCATATAGTTAATAGACCATCATTAATAGTCTTATGGTTAACAGACCAGCATTAACAAGGCAGCATTAACAGACCAGCATTAACAGACCAGCATTAACAGACCAGCACAAACAGACCAGCATTAACAGACCAGCATTAACAGACCAGCATCAGGGAAGAACAAAACGCACAGTATACTTCTTACCCATATCTCCAGTGTTAAATTTACCAATACTGACCCACAAGTAAAGAATTAACACCTATTATACCTTACATGAATTAGCCTTTATTATGCTGTGGCTCCATAAACCAGGTATATTAGCAGGTAAAGCAATACAGTATAGACACCTGACTTCAGTATGGACACCTGACTTCACAACAACACGTTCCCTAGTCCCACCCAGTAGGTCGAGGGTTCGACTCCTGGCTGGTGGGGTCGTTGATTATATGTTCAAAGTCCGCGTGTTATATGGACTAAAAATGAAGTACATATATGATATAAA